TATCCACTTTTGGTCGTCCTCCCGATTTATGATCCTATTTTCATACAATCCACTTTGCCAATCTTCTCGTGTTGCGTCGGCAAACTTGTGAAGAGTGTTATGATCCTATTTTCATAAAATCCTGGATATCGAGGACATTCACTTCATCGGAATACTCAAGAGGAGACTATTCAGAAAGAAATCATATGTAAGAATAATCATCAATTTCCAGTCTCATCACAACTACAGGCTGCAGATCGGAATAATGAGGAGTATGCTCATCAGAAGCTTAAGACTAACGAACACACGGAGTTCTGGAATAGGAAGTTGGAGAAACTGACTCGGATACAGGTCATAAAGATCACATTTCAACTGGGATATGCTCCTAGACTTTGCTCATAGACGTGGTCCATGAAGTAAAGGCTTAACCTCGAGATTCACTCGGCGCACAGCCGGCTCGGCGATAGAGGAACCTGCAACGTCAAGTTAGGTTGCCATGGCAATTGAGATTTCAGACTTTATGAGCTTGTTCAATGAGGCCAACAAAGGCTTGAGGCAAAGTGTAGAACCTAACGCCTTGAGTGTCCCGGATGCGGTGTCGTAGATGGAGTGAAATCGCTGAAACTGGCAGACAAATTGGGAGGATCCTACATAGCAAGAGGGTTCGAGGTTTAAATAGACAAGCAAGCAATTGTTATAGTGAAGGGGTGATACGAGAATATGGGATAATTGAAGGAGAGATACCAAAACTGTTTAGCAGACAATTGATCTTTGATGAGTTGCGGTGTGGTTCTAAGACTGGCAAGACTCACTGACGATGCCGACGAAACGTCTGAGAATGTACCACGTCCACGGTCCGACTTTGGAAGTGATGATGCATACAATGGACTCCGGACTAGGTGCCTTCCTCTAAGTCTTCCTACCAATATGACCAAATTGTGAAAACAAGGTCAAACAACTTCTATACAGCGAAAGGAGACCGCAAACATACAGAAAACCACACTATTCTGGTCTTCATATCTTCGTATTAATGAGCATTGAGGAGTGAAGTTAGCTTTATTTAGTATTTTGGTGGAAAGTGTTATTGGTTAACTTGCTTTATTTCTGTCAGCTTTAAAGGTTTGCCATCATTTCCGTGGCAACGTTTACAATTGTTGAGAGGAATTTCATTTCGTATGAAAGTGCATGAAGAAGAGATTCGTTGGTCGATCTGACCAGATGAGGACGGATGAATCCTTTTGTACTTTTAAAGCACTGTCTACTGATAAAAAGTTCAGTAATAAAGCAATTCAACAGCACCATAGCCACAAGGTTTCTTTTAATCTCTCCTAAAATACGCATCGAAGCTACGCAGCGTACCTGACGCAAATTTTTTTAGTTATGGTCAGTACTTTGACTGTATATTTTACCATCCAGTGAATGCACTGATGAAATTGCCCAGGAGATGACGCCCGACTGTGTTGAGATGGCTGACTTCCATTTGCTACGTTATCGCCTAGACGAGCTGACATCGGAAAGTGGTCAGCTGGAGGCACGGCTGCATCAACTGCTCGACCAGCTCTGCAAAATGACCACCATCTTCACGCACAAAGTGGTCCGACAGAGGCAGTTCTCCACGATCATGGGCAGCCAGGATTCACGTAGGACCGACAGCTCCCACGCCAGTATGACCGTCATAGGACGACGTTTCCAACGTTTCTGTTGCATTAAAAAGGACTTAGCCAAGCAGTCAGCAGGTTGATCTAGTCCCCCAGAGAGCGGAGGGGCTGGCAGAAGAGGGAGCAGGCATAAACCAAGTAAGTAAGTGGATGGGACATACAGAAATGAAAAAATCTTGAGATCATCCTGTCTGGGAATTTTGTAAATAGCACCGATTTGCACATGCCCTCAAAAAGTTGGAAACAGTCAATTAATGGGACAAACAAACACCGGCACCATCAGCATTCTCATGTCGACTTGTCTTGTAAATAAGAGCATAAAGAATAGAGACAAGATTGCCTTATCAAGACTTGTTTATTTTCAAAATAAGCACATGTGCAGGATATGAACAAGAGGTGATTAAAACGTTGGAAAGCTATGCTAAAATTGAAACGAATTCACAGCACCACATTTAGATGAGGCGGACGTTTTGATTCTGCTAATGCTGATCCGGTAATACTGACGATTATTGTGTCGGTGAACTGGTCGCTTCATACTTTCGATTAAGCAGTTTTCGAGACCGTCAGCAATTCTTTACTAAGGGCCTGCATATGTTTTTATCTATACAATGATTTGAGTAGTCCTCATTTTTTTTCATAGAATCACACATATCATTGCTTTTCCAAGAAAGTGATTGTGTTTTAGGTGATTGTTTGTAAGTGATGGCCTCTGGCCTTGACGATGTCCATCATATAATGGATGTAAGCTCAGCACAGATTCGTCAGGGTCGCAGGACGATGAGCAGAGATTTTCTTCGCCCAATACAACCGTCACCAGCCCAAGGGAATCCTCCTTCTGTAGCCGGTGAGGCTTAGGTATATATATATATATATATGAATACTCCATATCTACCTTGGCCTCACCTGTTACAGGAGGGTTGCCTTGGGCTAGTGACGGTTGTGTTGGACTAAGAAGATCTCTGTTCATCGTCCTATGAGCTCGATGAATTCGTGTTGAGCTTACCTCTATCATGTGATATAAATCGTCAAAGCCAGAAACAATTAATCACCTAAAACAAAATAACTTTCTCGGGAAAGCAATGATATGTGAATTCAATGCAAACATAAGGCCTACTGAAATTATTCGGCGAAAATTAACCTACCAGTTTCCCACCAACTTAAATGAAATCGAGTAAATGCAGCTCCTATACCAGGTCTATTGGTATTCCCGAAAACATACTTATGAGACAAAAAATAATATATGAGTGGGTTGACCTCTTTGTCGCAACTTGGTCTTGTCAGGGGGACTTAGTAGAACGCACCTAGTGCTAAGTCCTCTGCCATTGTAGTTATCATAATTCCCAGCTTCAGACACTGGACTTTAGACTAGGTGCATTCTACTAAGTCACCCTGATAGCAAGACCAAGTTGCGACAAGGCCAACCCACTTCTATAAATCGAAAGGAGACCGCGACAATACCGGGTGCTACACCATATTGGTACTTATATCTTCGAAAAAATAATATAATAATAACTTTGCCTGATCGACAATCCTATCATAGAAATGTGATATGGGAAAAGCCTAGATTTCCTAGAAATGCACTTCTGCTTTAGGACCCAAGTGCATTCGTGGCGCTCTGGCGTATTTGTTAAAGTGTCAG